ATTAGACAGCAATTTTTTTAATTGACTTTACTGTTCACATTTATTTTATCATATTATCACCTGAACCTGTGCGAAAGGTGCCACAGGAGGAGGAAGGGACACTGTGTTTGAAGGGCTTCTAAAGTGCTTCATCTGTAAGTGTATGAGTCCATCATTTATTCCGTGTGCACCAGAAGCCATGAAATCTCCATGGTAACAAATGCTGCAGGCTGAACTGATGAAGCCGTTTTGTATGAATAGTGAAATAATTTTAACAGTCCAGCAGATCTTGCTGGTATCCAGCTGAGACAATCAGATGCAGACTTAGTCAATCTGCCCTCTCACAATTACATTTTCGAGAATATATTAGTATTATCACCTCAAAGGCAAAAAAGCCAGAACAGAAAAGGAATGAAAGAAGAAAATGTGAAAAATCAATAAACACATATGGAAGAATACAAGCTAAATTTTACCTTTGCAAAGCGGTTGACCACTCTTCCAAGTGGCGTAGTGTCAAAGAATACCATGGGAACTCTCAATATGTTTCGGAGGAGTCTTAAGTGCAGGATTCGAGATGCAGCAATTGAACCATTGGCTAAGAGCAGTGTAGCAAGGAACGCAAAGATACCTGTCGTAAAGAAGAGATTTTTCTTTAAATAGAGTGTATTATTATGCCACACACAGTGAAATCTATTTTGCACAAAAACATGAATACCAGTTAGAAAGAATAAATAAACTTAAGACTCGAGTTCATATTTCTCTAGAAAAGCTGTTGAGTACATTTGAGTTTTGCTCATAGATGTTAGGATTATAGGGATGACTAATCACTTTGCTTGTACTGTCTAAATAGGAAAATTTACATTAACGGTAAAAACCAGAATTGTTTCTAATAGGCATTAAAAGCAACAGATACAGTGTGATTAATTTTTCATTTACCCTGCACCAATCCAAGACATGCATACACTCCTATCCTGGTATCCCTGATAGAGTCAGGGTATGTCATGTTGTAGTAGGTCACTGCATCATTAGTCCATTCAGCCAGCCATAAGCTCTGACCAACATATGTGACACTGAGCAAAGCATAACACACCACAGCAGCGATGGAATACACCCAGCCAATGGCTCGCATGTACTGAAGATACACTGAGAACTTCACCTGGATATCAAAGAGCAAAAAACATGTTTTCGAATATAACTTTGTGTCATTTGTGTGGTTAAAAAGTATTTAGGCAGACCAGGAACACATTTATAATACCTGTCCTGTTTCCATAGTTTCCTTCTCTATTATCTTCTCGCCACTCTTTGATTCACCAGCAGACTCTGTTTTTGTTAAACAACTGTTTTTTCTTTTTCTGATACTAGAAAAATTTGAGAAAAATGAAAAAAAATTAGAGAATATACAACACTCCTCTATGACACAATATTTCACACACACACACACACACACACACACAC